TTTAACATAGTAAATAATACTTAATAAAATAAATTTTTGATAGGTGTGGCGTATATATCGGAGTTACCTTATGCCAAAAGCATAAGCGAATTCAAATTTATCAATTTCATCAAATTTTCTATCAACTTAACTCTAACAAAATAAAAATAAAATAGATACAAGTGGTTTAAAATACATTTAAAAAATAATATAATTGCTATTTTATAATGTCTTAATTTTTTACATGATCAATTTTTTATGATTCGAAAATTTATGCGAATGTCCAAACTTTCGTGAGCGATAGTGTATATGTATACATTGATCAGTTTTTGAATTTTATTCCTCTATTAAAAGATAGAATTCTGACTTCTCTTCAGTATATCTGCATACAATAATGTTTTTTACTAGAAGAAGTAATATGCACAGTGTACTTCAATACCGTTGCACAGAAATCGACGTGAAAATGTATGTTTAATAAAAATATAAAAACGAGTTAAACCGCGAAAAATCCTCAATATATTACAATAATGTATATCAGATGTACAAGTATGAAATGACGATTTGAGAAACAGATGGCGCACCAATGCAGTGTGAAATACAAAGATTTAACATTATACGCCATTTTATTGTACCATCAACAAGTGTCAAACGCGCAAAGTGATGTGATTGAAAAGTGTTTGCATAGTATTATGTTGCTGTGTTTAATATGACGAAATTTGTACTAAATAAGGAGCATTCGCGGACAGCATTAATTTTTTGTTTTCAAGAAAACTGCTGCGGAATCATACCGATTACTTGGAGAAGCTTATGGTGAACATACTCCATCACAAAAAACGTGTGAACGATGGTTTCAGCGTTTCAAAATTAGAGATTTCGATGTTGCAGACAAGGAACAGGGAAAATCGCCCAAAAAGTACGAAGACGTGGAATTGCAAGCATTGCTGAAGATGATTCACAAACACAAAAACAACTCGCAGAACAATTGAGCGTTAGTCAACAAGCTATTTCCAATCGCCTACGAGAGATGGGAAAGATTCAGAAAGTCGGCAGATGGGTGCCACATGAATTGAACGAGAGACAGATGGAGAGGCGCAAAAACACATATGAAATTTTTTTCGAACGATACAGAAGAAAATCATTCTTGCATCATTACTGGGGATGAAAAGTGGGTTTTTTTTGAGAATCCCAAAAAATCATGGACCCAGGCGCACCATTCACATCGACCACAAGACCGAATCGCTTTGGCAGGAAGACGACTCTGTGTTTGGTGGGACCAGAAGGATATGATCTATTATGAGCTATTGAAGCCTGGCGAAACGGTTAATACCAAACGCTATCAACAACAATTGATCGATTTGAACCGTTCGCTGCTTAAAAAACGACCAGAATACCAAAAGAGGCAACACGAGGTCATTTTTCTCCATGACAATGCTCCATCACATACGGTAAAACCAATTCGGGACACGTTGGAAGCACTCAGCTGGGAAGTTCTACCCCACGCGGCTTACTCACCAGACTTGACTCCTTCCAATTACCACTTGTTTGCATCGATGGGTCACGCACTTGCACGCTGAGCAGCGCTTTGGTTCGTGCGAAGATGTGAAGAAATGGCTCGATGAATGGTTCGCGGCAAAAGGGGAAGATTTTTTTATTGGCGTGGTATCCACAAATTGCTCGAAAGATGGGAAAAATGTGTAACTAGCAATGGAGCATACTTTGAATAAATCTCTTTTTATCTTTCTTCCGAATTTGTGTTTTTTTTTTTGGGAAAAAATCGTCATTTCATATTTGTACACTTGGTAAAAGCTTTAATGTGCACTGCGATCTGCTAAAGAAAAACAATTAATTTTATTTTTAGTATCAAGAAAAAAAATAATGATTCGTTATATTTTTTTTTATTGATGATAACGGTAACGAGTTATATTTGCAAATCAATAACGAGTAACGATAACGAGTTATTTTTTAGGAAAAAGAACGGTAATAAGTTATTTTTATGAGATAATGTTGCCATGACCTTGATTATTTGGATATATTATTGGTGTATTATTTGAGTGTATTATTGGTGTATATATTTTCATATACTTATAATATTAAGCACATACGAATAATTTTCGCATACGAAAATACCAGTTTTCCGATTATACTCAATCGATAATATACAAAACTATAGCATTTACGCGTGCAACAATTATTCTTGTACACTCAAGAATATATAAGGCTTCAAAGCCTATTCTTGAATTTATATAAATAATTCGTGTTTGAGTCGAATGAAGCAGCTTGTTCGCTGAGCGATTGAGTAGTGAGACAATCTGTTATCTGCTTTACCGAAAGCTCCTCAACGCCATTCTAACGTAAAACGGCAATTACACAGAATTTCGGCTCTGTTGACATTCCTAATAGTCTTTGCAAGATATTATACCCATATACACATATTTTCCATTCGGTAAAATAATAACTTTTCTTCTAAACTTTCATTCAATCTTATTGTAATTCTACAAACTCGATACTGTTCGTTCCAGTAGTGTGATTTCAGCTGTGTGCTTATTTTCAATATATGTACTATAAAACTCTTATATTGAGCAAATATTAGGTGTACAACTTTGCTTCCGCCGTTTTTTTTCCGAAATTCGAGGCTTTATTGTAAAAAACTGGTTATACATTTATGATTCAAAGTATTGTCCATCGCTGGCCATTACTTTCTCCCATCTTTTGGATCGCGTACGAATCCCGCGTCGAAAAAACTGGTCATCTTTTGAGACTATCCACGAATCGATCCAATTTTTTACTTCTTCATAAGACCGGAAGTGCTGGTCAGCTAGGTCGTGTGCCATTCATCGAAACAAGTGATAGTCAGAGGGAGCAACGTCTGGAGAATGAACTGAAACCTGGCGATTCCACGGGTGATCGGTATCGGCTACAATTGATTCGTTTGAGCCCTGCATTGCGAGAAAAACGGCTAGAATACGACATGATAAAGTTATTCTTCTTCATGACAACGCTCGTCCTCATGTCGCTAAAGTCATAAAAAAATATTTGGAAACACTCAAATGGGATGTTTTACCGCACCCGCCGTATTCTCTTTCGACATTGCTCTTTACTGGTTGTTTCGAAGGATGTAGCAAGTCACCGGTTCACTTCTTTCGCAGAAAATGAAAATTGGCTCCAAAATTGGATCGCCTCCAAAGACGCCTCATTTTTCCGAGATGGAATTCGAAAATTGCCTGAGAGATGGGAAAAAGTAGTAACACAGCGATGGACAATACCTTAATTGATCTGTTCATTCATTTCGTTTTGAAATAAATGCACAAAAAAACGGACCGAATTAATTTGTACTCTCAATATATTTTTTAAAATTAAATGTATATAATATTTATTATATATTTATTATAAATATATATAATATTAATTTTTTA